AAATGTTTTTCTTTAGTAAAATACCTGAGATGAGAAATGTACCTCTTATCTGCTGGTTAATGTCTGTACTTCTCTTCGGGGAACTAATTTAAACACTTCATGAGAGATCGACATTTTCAGTACCTTAAACATCCTTAAAAGCTGCTTTGTTCACTGCAAACCATATTTAGTATGACCTCATAATAATGTAGCACACCTCAAGTGTCATGCCTGTCTTTACTATGCACTTTGGAGCTGTGTTCATCTATACTAGACAATTGCACTTCAAGGAAAGATATTTTTTTTTTGCTTGATAGGCAATTAGCAGTAATTAGGAAGATTCACTTCAGTAAGGTGTCAACATGAGATTGTTTAAAAAAGTTGAACGTCAGTGGCTTTAAAAGAGGGTTCTTTTCCCTGACACATAGGTATGGCATGTGAAACATGAAATGTTAATTTAACTTTTCTGCTTATTATTCATGCACAATATTATTTTGTCATTCAGATATTACACTGACAGAGTGCAAAGGGTGTTAAAATAGTGCTGCTGGAATAAAAAGAGGATTAATCTACCATTGGCCAATTAGCCAAAGGGTACTTAATGGTCTCTAAAGGCTACTGAAGTCTAACAACTAGCTAAAGCACTGGCAAAAAGTCCTCTATATTACCTTCATTTATTTGACATTTTGTGGAATAGTCAGCTCCTGATAACTGCATTTGGCTGAAAAAAAAATACTACTAAATGATTCAGTAGATTTTACCAAAATTTCAGAAGGACAAATGACAAAAAAGTTTCTACATTTTACAGGAAGTTTGTCTTGCTTTTTGTGGGGGGGGGTGTCTTTGTTTCAATTTAGGGATGGGATATTAAGTCACCAGAGACTTCTGTTTGATATTTTGTCTTCATGTCTAGAATACTAAGTAATCAACCACTTACAGCACTTGCATGAAAAGAACTTTGATCGAGGATTTGAAGTTATTTGCCTTTTCTCTATATGATCATATTAAGTATTCACCATAGCTTTTTAGTCTGGTATATATCTTTTCAGATAGCTACATATCATCTTTATTAATTTTCACCTTTTTTTCCTATGACCCATCACACAGAGGAAGTTTTTTGATTCAGGAGTAGTGGGATTGACACAATAAGTTGGATATTGTAAATAGGTTTATCATGATGTTATAATAATATTTGAGAGAATGAGTAAAATCATAAATACCTAGCTTTCTGCTTGCAAGCATGCTTTGAAAATTTCTGTTATGTTTTATGTGTACAACGAGTACTGCTTATTTTGTATATTTTTCATGATCAAGCAGAAACTGTGCAGAGACAGTGTTCTATGTAAAACATTTATAGAAGCAGTGTTAAAGTCTGACAAAACTTTGTATAGGAGCTATGCATATAGCAAAGCTATTGCCTACTGTAGGAAGGTTTCTTAGGAGAAAAGAAAAGTGAGTGTTAACTTCAGTTTATTTACAGACATAGCAGTGTTTGCATCTACCAGGATTTTAGGGAAGGTTCGCAGAAAATGGGATTTGGCACATCAAAGTATATTAGCTTTAGTTTACAAAATGAGTAGTAAGATACGATTGTGTCACTGCTTAAAAACGCATCAAGAATGCCTAATTTACATCCTGGTTTATAATTTTTATGTAGTATATTTTGCAAATATAAATGTGGGGGATTGTGTGCCTTCAGTAGCAGTACAGTATCAGCTCCTTCCAACAGGAATGTTATATTCATACATGCCGGTTGCACTAGAATAGTGACTTCTGTAAAATGAGCTCAAAGCCCCTTATAGAGGGATTGTGATGCCAGGGAGCAATAGGCCGTAGCAGGAACTTCCTGTGTTAACCCATTGGGCCTTCCACACAGCTGTGAGCAGAGAGTTTACAGTGAACAGCCTTGCTGAGTCACTGGAAGTTTTATACTGACTGCATAGAAACTGAGTTTTCATCACTTACTCCTTTGTGAACAGCAGTACAGAGTGTCATGGGTATACCAGGAGCAAGGAGATTAAGATAGATGGATGTTAAAGTATTGAACCTATAAACATCTGTTAAGCCAAAAACACTCTGGAGGAGGTGCAGCAGACAAAGGCCGCTACATCATAGAGGAACAGCAGTAGGCTCCCTTTACCAACATCTGGTCTAGCTGATGTTTAAGATTCTTCTACCTTTCATCCTGGTGACCTCTTCCCCTGGAGTAAATTCTTTTTTCTCTGTCATTCAGGATTTGTGCCCGTGGTAGCGCACGCACAAAACTTTTGTTGTGTCTGAAAAAGAAAAAAATATTTAAAAACTTGACCTAAAGAATAGGCAGTGGTGAAAAACACTAGGGTAATGAACTTGTTTCCTAAGTAAATGCAAGGAATATCTTTTAGGCATAACTCTCTTCATAGGGCAGGGGGGCTGTTTTTTGCATCCCACATGGATTTAGATAGGATTTTCTCATAACTGTTCAATAGATTAAAAATAAAAGAATAATGCAGTAGAATTATCAATTCTGTAGTACATTTACAATATCTACAGCAGTATTAAAAGACAGGTTATGTGAAATGTCTGATTGCAATTGCATGCCTGTCTGCTTTTGCGAGTTGGACCCTTGTACATCATATGCTACCTTGACTCCATCCATATTTCTTATGCTGTTTCTGAATTTATGTAGATTCTTATTTTAAAATCTTTTTTTCTACTTCCTAAAGTAGTTTCTCTAACTAACTGTCATCTTTAGTACCTGTCCCTTGAAGACCTTTTCTTTTTGAATGTATTTGCTATAATTTTTGAGAACGTAGCCAGTGCAATTCATGTTGTTTTAGAACTGATGCATATTGTCAGCAGCAGTAGCCTAAGAAACTTCTGAAAGTCACGAGCTATCTTGGCCAGATACAGGCATTTCTAATTTTGAACAGAGATATTGATCTAGCTATGTTTTTTTTCTTTTCTTTTTATGAATAATTTATTATAGAGACACTGAATCATGAAATTCTGCATGTAGAAATATTGGTTATACTGGACAAATTAACATAATCTTCATATTTTTCTATACTATGTTCTTCTGTATTACTGCTGGTTTTTCTTATTGAAATGGTCCATATTTTGTCTTTTACTCTGCAAATGTAGTAATTATGAGAATATCAGATTAAGGAATAGTCAATTAGAAAATACAATATTTCTCTCTTGTTTCATAATGACAGCAGACACACACAGGAATGGAAAGATTAACTCTTTTACTAAGAACAGTACTTACCTCGGATACATATGTAAAATGACCGCTGACTTTAATAAGTGCACTTGGTGAATATGAAATAAATACTGCTAGATTTTTAACTTTAAATACCAGATGAATTTTCCTTGTACTGATGATATTTTTTTAGGGTAATGCAAAATATACAAGCATTCTTTTCTCATTCATAATGGGTATTACTGTGGCTCTCTTTTATCTGTATATATGATCTTCAGATTATAGTCATGTGAGTGTATGTTTTTATAAACACATGTATATGATTTTTTTTCCTAATGATATCAAGCTGTATAAAATCTAATTTGTAAATTAAATCATAAACTGCTTGAGAATAGAATACTTAACTTTCACTTTTTTTGGTGGATTTTTTTATTTGATTTTAGGAGTGGGTTTTTTTGTGGATTTTTTGGGGGGTTTGGGGTTTTTTATGTTTGTTTGGGGTTTTTTTTATTTATGGTTGGGTATTTCGTTTGGCATCAGCATATAATCAGGCACATATTTAGTTATTTCAAGCTGTCATGTATCTTCTTATGCTACTGATCAGGATTCTTCACAAAGTAAGGGGTTTTTTTATTTCATTTTGAGGTATTTCCATACCACTTTGTACAATTGTTTCTTATGTTAAGCTACTGTATTACAGTCTTACATGGAATAATAAGATAGCATTTTAATAACCCTTGTAAGCAGCAGAGAGCTGTTAGGCCATTGTTGGCTTTCAGCTGACTACAGTTTTGTGAAAGTTAATCACTAGCATGAAGATTATTTCCGTTTCCCTTTTTGCAGAACAACATTCAATATTATTTAAATTAAAGCAATTATTTAAAACATTACTTCTGAAAGGAGTAATGTGAAATATATTGGTACAAAGATTGAATAAGTCTTGTTGGTCAAGTGCAACAAGACTGAGAGTTTGTTTGCATGATATTTATTTGAACTAAATCCCTAACAAGGCTCGTCTGCTAATTGGACTTAGCGTTTATGTTGCTAAGTGAGAAGCATTTTGGCTGCAGTATAGGGTGGTAAGACCTACCCAGTGGAATAAACAACTAACATCTGTTATCCTGTCCTGCTCCAGCTTGTCTTTTACCACTTAAGTACTTCAGCCCTAGAGTCAAGGTTATGGAATGTGCAGTTCTCTGGCTATGGTGCATATATTGAAAGGGATGAAATAACACATAGGTAAAGACCAGCCAACCAGGAGATAGTTAATGCAGCTGGTCCACTTTGCTTTAACCTCTACAAGCCCTACAAATATCAAAACAAAAGCCAAGAGAAGGGCGTATGCTTTACAGCAGTTGTCAACACAGCGATTGAAGTGAGCTTACAGTGGTCACCATTATAACAGATTGGACTTTTAACTACCCTGAATTCACATTGGTATCTAAGACACCATGGTATTCATATTCTGTGTAGAAATAATTGCTGAATTCCAGGAAGGCTCTAGGTAAACTTGTTTCAACAGTAACTGCTGTTACAATTTCATATGATAATTTTTGTTTGTTGTAGTTAAAACTGCAACATATTCAATCAAAATTGAGTTATTTTGCCTATAATTTTAAAATAATTGCTTGTTTCCAATGGTAGTAGATTTCTTTTTTGCTGCCAGATTTGATCTTTGCCTGTACTAGACAATTCAACCAACAGCCATGCAATATAATTATGGGTGATATGTACAGTTGCATTCCTCCTGAGTGCTGAACTGGAGAAGCATCTCATAGAATCAAGCAGAAATGTTTTTAGGATGAAATTGTGATTGCTTATTCTCTTTGTAAAACAGATTTTGACCTCCAACATGGCCAAGTGGCAACAGGAGAAGGAAGATCTACAAGGAAAATTAAAGTTGAGAGAACATCTGCCTCAAACTGCTGGCAAGAGTGAAGCTGCACCAGCTCCTTCAAAGAACATTGATTTAGAGATGAAACAGCTGCAGTGCAAACTAAAGGTGACAGAACAGATTATCTAGTGCTGAGGATAATTTGTATGAGCAGTAGTTCATAACTGGGTCAAGCAGGCATACCTATACTCCCATATGCCTATCATTTGTATATCATAGCCAATGATTAGCAGCTTAGGTGTTAGATTGCCTTTGATGGTAAGTAGAAATGTATTCATAGACAGAACTAAAAGTTCTAAAACAATTTCTGCAGATCAAATAGGCCAAACAAGGAGCCTGGGTTTTCACACAATGATTAAGGAGATCTTATTGGAAGGTGCTGTGAAATTGGTTTAATGAGAATTCAGTTGATTCCTTTCTTCATCTAAGAAGGAGAAAAGCAATAGCTTTATGTGAAAGTGGAGCAAAGAATTTGAGGCAATGCGGCAGCAGTGTTGTGTGTGTGTCAGTGGTGTCTTTGTCTTCAGAGAGACTTTTTAATTATTTTGTATTTGTGTAGATTAGCTGCTAGGAAAATACTGACTGGTTGATGATTTCACTTTTCAGTCTTGGGTGATTTTGTTGCATGTGAATGATGCAGAGACTTGACTGTGTTGTTCTGAAAGCTTTCTCAGCAGGTGGCCTGGCTCAAACATATTAATTCTTCTTCTCTTCTCTCTGGAGGAAATATATTTGCAACAGTATGTCTTCAAGTTTTTTTTTTTCCAATTGTTTTCTGTTAAATAGTGGAGGAAAGAGAAAAGGTCAAAATGGTGCAGCTTCGTGCTGCTAGAAGAAACTCGACAGTAGCAAAAAGTCTGCCAAAGGATCAGCTAGGAGAAAAGGCTCTGTTACATGGTCAACGCAGCTGACTCTAAATGCTGGATTAGCTGTGCTAGCACAGGAGGTGTGGGTAATGCTCAGACCTCTGAGCTGTTGATGGTAATCATGGTATTACAGATCGTGGCTATTGCACACTGTATGCGTAACATCTAAATTCAGGGATTAGTAAAGGTAGGTCACATTGATAAAGAGATGAGGCCAGCAGGGAGTAGCCATGAAAAGGCACATAAATTGATCTGCTTTAATTATGAGAAAGAGGTCTTAAAACCATACACACTGTCTTCTTGAGTATTGTTTTTAGTTTTGGGATTAAATAATCTGCTTCTGTTGCTGTTAATTAGGGTTGTACCTTTTAGATGAGTATCTTCATTATCCATTATCCAGAAACCTAGCAGTCAATTGATCTATGCAGGTAGGAAAAATTAAAAAATGGGGATTTATTTTTTAAAACAGTTTAAGAGTAACACCCGTGCTAGAAGCCTACTCTGTTTGTCTGCCAAATGTGAACAGCAAAATAAATTGCTGAAAAATCAAAGGTTTTTTTGTTTCTGCAGCAGAGGAAATATTTAGCAAGCATATATAAATCTGATATCAAAAATACTACCATGACTTTTAATTCCTTCTTAAAGATATATTAAATTTTTAATGAAAAAATAAATCATGTATGCAAAACTATATTTAGGATGGAGATAGTCTGTGACCCCCAAATGTATGTAGTAGAGTAAATTCACTGTTTTCTGAATTGGATGAGAGTTTTGAATATTAAGAGCTGAAAAACTACTTAAATCAAGTTTCTGAAATTCTTAACTTTATTTAAAGCTAGTTTAAGTCCTGCAAGTCATTTCTTAGCAGAAGAGTTTGACAAAGGGTTTTCAATTATTGTTCCAGGCTTTCTAGCTGACTTAAAGATGAGACACATAGTTATTCTCCTGAATATCTGAATGTCTAAGCAGCAAAAGCTTTCATTATAGCTCAAAATGTCCAACTACCTGGCCTCGCTGGTTATTTTTTTTCCTTAGCGCTGTCTTTGCAGTGCTTGTTTACATTGTATGTAATGACTCCTTGTATCTTTGCCAACAGGAAGAAATGTGTGAAGTGTGGGTGGTGAGTTCAGAAGCAAAATACCGTAAGCATATGTCTTTGCCTCTGAATGTGTGCAGAGGCCCACCTAAGTACTCAAGTTCATGTCTGGTGTGGAAACCACGTAACTGGGTGCTCTACTTTACACTAATGGAACTCAAGCCCCACAAACAGGTCTCAGGAAACTCAGGAATATTCTGCTAGCATACCACATTTTAACAATTTTCTGGTTATGCCTCACATTATAATAATAGTAAATAGACTAGACAAGTTATTAAGAACAATATTTTACATCTAACTATGCACACAAGAATATATACTCCCCTTGAGGTGCGCTGAGTTATGTGCAGTACTCCCATTAATGTTAATAGGCATTACAAGCCTGCACCGAGCAGAAAAATTCTCCTGAAGTATCATTGTTTACAGCATGTCTGATCTGTTTCCTTGTTGTTTATACATAGTGAGTAACAAGCTGTAGTACGGTGGCTAAATCCATGTACATATAGGCAGATACATACTTGGTGCATGTGCTTAATATGCATCTTTTGGCAACACCTTTTGGAGTTCTGAAGTATCTCTATGTGGTGCGTTTGAACTGCCATTTCAACAATGGCATTCAATGCGTATGGTCAGATTGCTGAGATGGCTACTTGGTAAATTTCTTTTTTTTTTTTGTCCCTGTAGAATGATTCAATTTTTCTGCGTTTAGATCTTGGGTAGATGATATGTGTAATTGCCTGGAGGAATAAAAGCACTTTTTTTCTTATTATATACAAATGAGGAATGGCCAACAACTGTATAAATGTCCTTCACTGGAATGACACATGCCTGAAAATTAGGATCATGATCATACCTAGTTGTTAGTGAAATGTAGAATTTGTGTTGGTACAGACAAATGAAAATGTCTTTGTCTTGTAGTTTGAATTTCAGGAGACATAAAAGCAACCACACTTGTAAATAGTCTTGTATTTCTTAATACTTAAAATGAAAGGAATTACTGCACATTCTTTCTGTATAGATGTAATTACTTGTGCGGTAGAAGTGTGCATACAAAGATATAGTTCAAATGAAGATCCAGTTCTGCTTCTCTTCTGTTACATTTTATTCTGACCGTGCTATGCAAGAGAAAATGCATTCCTGATTGGTGCTTGCAAGTGTCCCCGAGAACATCTAGTAGCCATACATTGTTAGAACAATGGAAATGTACTGATTTTCATGAAATTTTCCAAGGAATGTAGTTCAGCTTAAGTGTTTCTAGGAAGTAAGAACACTCCTTTTATACCAGCTAATTTCTAAGAATCTCCATAAAATATATGGAAATTTACTCAGATAATTTTTTCCAAAATTTACTGTTGTCTGTGATCACATTCGGTCTACTCCATTCATATTTTAATATTTTTCAATATAGAATTCGAACGCTGAGATCGCTAAGCAATCGACCACCATTAAGCCGCTGAAAAAACAAGTCCAGGCAAAAGAAGGATGGATGGATTCGGGAGCTGCGAGCGAAGCGCGGCGCCTCTTCTCTCCATTGTGTCTGGTGCCACCCAGCGTCAGCTCTGAAATTGCTGCAGCGCCGGCTGCTCCTCGGTCCTTGGGAGAGCGACGCGTCCTTTTGGCTGCAGCCTCGCACAGTGTTGCAGGGACCTTTTAGAAACTGGAACAGTTTATGCTTAAATTGCGGTTTTTATAAACTGATGCAGCTAGGTACAGTGTCTGTATGGCAGTAAGAATACCTTAAGTTGGAACTCAGGCTGTTTTATCCTTGGTGCGAGTCGAAGTGAATTCCTCAGCGCTGTTAAACACAGTCTTTCAAATTCCGTAATTCCTTGCCTAGGGGCTAAAAGACATGTCAAGGTTCAGATGCTTAAATAAGATTAAACAGCTCGTCTTATATTCATAAAAAAGTTCAAAAGGATAGTTGTATTTGTTTCTATTTGAATTGATTCAGGTCTGTTATTCATTTTGAAATTCATAAATTGTCAAATATGCAATTGATATTTTTATTCTACCTACAGTAACTGATATGATGCTGTTCTTCAAATATATTACCATATCAACTATAAAAAAAGCTGTGTGTACCTGAATTTCTTATCTGCCCAAGGTTTTAACTCCTCTAACCCTTCTGATTTTTTAATTGAAGAAAGAATGCAGTTTTTTTATCTGAAAATAGTTCATTTAAAAAATAGAGAGCCCTAAAAATTATTACATTGTAGATTGGTTTATTTTCTGTTTCAAAGTGAATTTTTCCACCGTAAGATTTCAAATTTAAAATAGTTCTTGGATAGCATGCTTTCTTTATAAAATAGAAATTGTTTTTTTATAAGCAGTAAAATATAATAACCAAAATAGCAGTAAGAGTATAAAGGTGAAATAGATCAAAGAAATTTTTAGATGCATTGTATTCCTGGGGTTTTTAAAAGTACAATATTGACATTGTATTAAGAGTGTTGTATTCCTGAATATACTGCCATTCATTTTGCTTTCATTGGAAAAAAATCCAGATATCTGGACATATTTAGGTATTGCTTATGTTTATATTTAAAATATTAATTTGTGATATAATGGTAGAAGCATTGTATAGGGCATAATTTTCTCATTGAACAAAGATTGCTTTTTAGTACACGAGAATTTTGCAGGCTTTACAAGAAGTTTCTGACAAAAGCTGATGTTATTTCTAGGTTTTGCATTTTATCTCATCTGACACACAGGGATAGGGATTTTTCAACTATTTCTGTGTATTACTCAGTTGGAGGAAAGGAGTCTTCCCCATTTCACTTTCTTTTGAAAATAATTTTGCAAAAAATAGTGTTTGAATTATTGAGACATCAATGGAATTTAATTAATTGAATTTTGTGGGCTCAGCGTGTTTGTTTTCCCTTTTTTTGATAATTGTTTCAGTGTTATTGTGTTTTCAGTTCAGACAAGCAAAAATCAAATCACAAATATATTGCATATTTAGAAAAAGATCTGTTAATAAGAGACTGAAACTGGGTTTAGTACTTGAGAACCAAGTAAATTGCAAGAACTGCCTCAGCTTTCATTTTTGAAAGTACTGTAATGCTACAGGTATGATAGATTGTCTACTACCTTTATGCCTTTTAGTTGCAGTGATATGCAGTCCAACTTCTTCCTCTGCAGAATATCTGAGTTGGAGAGGGATGTTACTATGAAAAGACACTTTATAGAAGACTTAAAGTCTTGCCTAAAAGCAAATCAAGAAAATGAGAAAATCTCAAATTAAATATTGGAAAGTCTTGAGAGAAAGGTACTTCTTTCTTGCTATTCCTAGTTTTCAAAAAACCAGAAGCTGGTGGATTTACAGAAGTTGTTTCAACACACTGTACATATTAAATCAATATATTGCTTAAAGCAAAGAACATACAGTTAATTGAAGGGTGTCATTCCCTCCACTATAATTTGTATGAAATCAGTATATGGTGATAGCTTGAATGGATTCAGCATAATTTAATTTATCTTTGTTATAGGTGTAATTAAATATTAAAGTATTCAGAACACACAGTTGCAAGGATATTCTGTAAGTAGTGGGATTTAGTTTTATGCACTGTAAGTTCATAAAATATAGTAGACCTGAAACAAGGGGGATTTTACATGACATATGCTAATGAAGTCCATGCATCTCTCCTGGCTATAGTAGTTAAATGCTTTAATATGTTAATCTATTTTCTACTAGAGTGTTATGAATGATTCACAGTTCTTGGCTTAAGTAATTCTAACTGTGTAGGTAGTGCTTGACTTGTATAGCAAATTATTTTCTCCTGCAAAATTTTAGGATGATTTCACTGAAGGTAAAAGAATTTGTACATGATTTAGCATCTTTCTGTTATCCAACTGATGCACTGCACTTTGGCCTTCAATGACAGGAATAGATCATGATATTTGGTTGTCTATCAGGTTGTGCAGCTTATGACCCCAAAACAGAAATGAACAACTTGCCAGTTTGCTTTTGTTTGCCTAGAATGCAAGTGCTTGCTGAGTAACACAAGCACTACTCCTGCTTGCAGTCATACAGCATTTTCAGCTCCAAAGAGAGCTAATGTATAAACCCTCTGTGCTAAAGATAAGGTGTTATTAAGAAGTCCACAGCCAGAAAGTGAGAATGTTAAGTAAGCAAGGGAGCTAAGGTATGACATGAGAAAAATACCTGGTTTTGGTTTTGGATAAAAGATTTAGCATGAAATTATGTGGTTTAGTGCTTTACTTTGAGTATTTGAAGCACTTCATTTCCAAAGAATCAGATTCCACACATTATTTTGATTATTCCATGTGGAAAATCAGTTTGATAAATTTTACATTATCTTCAGCAAAAGATCAAAGAAATTCCCTGTTACTCAATATTGTCTGGAAAACTTTGTGATTACCACTGTAGGAAAGCTGAACAATTTTTAGGAGCATTGGGTTTTTTTTTCATTTTTACCCCCAATCAGTGTTTGCATTAGTTATTCATTATCTAAGAGGCTTTACAGACTATTAACATATAGACAATTCTTTTCTCAGCTGAGTTTGAACTTCTGTGTTTATCTCTGACAAACAAAAAGAAATTAGTGAAAATTGTAGTTTACTCCCTTTTGCAAGTACTGTGAGTCTAAAATATGTATGAACAAATAGCTCTCAGCTTTTCTTTATATTTAATGCCAGTCAAAACTTTATGTAACAAGGTTGTGTGTGAACTGATCTCTACTGGATAAACAGTAGAGATTTATTAAAGTTTGCAATTTCAGAAAAAGATACTTCAGTAATATAGTTGTCTATTTTTATGTAATATAGGTATGCTTAGCTCTGATTTTATTCAAATTTTGAAGTTTTCTATCTTGATAGTCAGTGCTCTTGGCCTTTCATTATTTCAGGTGAAGGCACTGGCTGATGACAAAAAAGCTTCCATTGACTCAATGACACAAAGGTTTAATGTAGCTATGAAAGAGACGTGTCAGTATGAGCAGATGTATCACAAAGCCAAGGATGATTTGGAGAAAAAGGTATAATTAGAGTTTTGATGGCTCCACTATGGAATTTCTTCATACTTACTTTAAAATGAAAAGTTGCAAGGTCATCAGCTTAAACTTTCAGTACAGAAAGGGGGAAAATAACAGAATAATTGTAATCTGTTTCTCTGATGTAATTCAGTCACGCTTCTGAAATTTATATGGACATAATGACTGAAAATGAAATTACTTTTTGCCATGAAATTACATACTATATGTTGCAAGTGAAATATTCTGTGATGTCACCCATGGTGTAGGAGGTTGGTTGTTCATTCGTTTGTAATCTGCCATACCTCCCCATCAGCTTTTATCATAGCACTGCTGTGTCTCTGTGGATGTTTTTCAGGATCTCAAGATTACTAAACTGCAGGGAAAAGTGATTGAGATTGAATATGCTATGACTGAGCTTGAATCTGCTGCATCTCAACAACTGCATGGCTTGACTAAGCAGAGTACACAGGCTTTGGAAACTATGCAGAAGGAGCTGCTGCTCACTAGTGCCAAAGTAGAAGAGTTCAAGACATTTGTGAAGGTTTGAATGTTGTTTTTCTTTTGAGTGTTCACCTTAGCAAAGGTACTTTTGATGGAAAGCAAAATGTAAAAGATTAAGCAAGGCTTGGATGCACTCCCTGTTCCAGAACAGTGTTTGTAGTTGCTGCAGTGTTCTGGTGTCAGGTCTGAATAAGGAGAAAGAATCACTACCTCTCTCCCAGACTTTCAAATACTTCCATAACTTTTATTGGTCATCTTTTTATATATGGCTGACATATACTTGGTCCCAAAAGAAAGTGCTTAGTTTTGTATCAGATTATTTTGCAGCAAATAAATTCCCAACACATTTAACATAATAATTCATATCTATTGATTACTGTGAATTACTGCCTTTTCCATATGCATGTGCTTCTTGTTTTACAAATACTATATAAGGAAGCCTCTATGTTGCAAAATGGAAAGCAGTTTAAAGGACAGTATGTAGAACATTGTTTCCTTATATTCCTTCCAGGGAAATGTTCACAACATCAGCCTAATAGACTTCAGGAAAGGTTTGAACAATGCTCTTGGGCACATGGTGTGACACCTGGGGATGGTGCTGATCAGGGCCATGAGTTGGACTTTGATGATCTTTGCGGGTTTCTTCCAACTCAGAATATTGTGTGATTTTATTAATGTAGTATATAACTACTGTATACCAACTTTCAAAGAAGGCTATTGTTTATTAGCCGATGAATCAGCTACTTCTCTACTGCTCTTGGATTATGTAGAACTGAGCTGCTTTCAGATATGTTTGAGCAAGGCTGAAGCATTCACAGTAAAGAGTAATGGTATTTTGATGCACTGGAAAAAGGACGCATATAAAGTCACTCTACGTGGCAGTGTTCAGACCTTTAGCATTTGAAACCATCCCATGTTCAGCTCTGTTGCTAAGTTCATATAAATTTCCTTATGAAAAAAAGACTGAACAATGTTCAATATTGCTTTAGAATCCAAAATTCAAGTAATTCATAAGCCAACTTATCAAAGGTGAAAATAAGGATTGGTTTTCATGAAAAAGTCTCTGTTATTTAAAAAACTAGATATTTTATTTTTAAAGTTTACTATTAAAGTGATAATATTTTGTTTGCCTTTTGATGTAACCATTGAAAAAGAGGTATAAAACTGATAATTGTGCCTGTTCATTCAGAAATAGGCTGCCTATTCTTGAACAGAGTATAAATTTTCATGAGTTTCTTCTGATACTGAATGCTTACTCTAAGAGGAAGATACAGGTGCTCTTTCCACAGCTGCATGCTTATTTTTGGCTAAATATGGAAAATCCTGAATTAATCTAATGTATTATCTATTATTTTTAATTAGGTATTCCTGTGTCACTGTTGATGGAGAGAAGCAATTCAGTCTCCATTCAGCGTGCTATGAGCTTTGGAATGTTTTCACTGAATAAAGTGAAAGTAGCAGTTACAGAGATAGGGAGATAAAAAAATCATGCTATCAGTATTTTACATAGTTCCATAATGAAAAGTTTTTAAAAAATTAGAAAATGAGAAAGTAAAAGATCTTCTGTTCTCAGAGGTAAAAGTAGTGAGCAGGATCTATTAGCAACTATTACCTTAACTTCTTTAATTGTTGAAGGAGATGACAGCTTTGTTGTTAATTACCATGAATATTCATTAGCCCTTTTGTGGTTAACGAGATGTGAAAAATGTAAATATGAAAAAAAAAAATTGCCTGAATATAAAGAATATGCATGCATATTTCAAGTAACAGTTTTGCTGATTGCTGTTCCTCTGCAGAACAATTTTTTAAAAAGAAAGATAGTGTCTATAAGTAAACTACTTTGTTTAGTTGGGTGCTAAAATCAGATTTTATTAACAATATAGCACCATAAAATAGTAAAATCCTTAGCAATTCAGTGGAATTGTGCAGAATATGACATAAATCTTGTTAAAATATCTCTTATGTATCTGCTGTTAAAATGAGATATTGTGATAATACATACTGTAATAAGTAGCAGTAGAGTACAGCTCTTCTTTTGAAGTCTGATCTGCCTCATTTCTTTTCTTCTGGATAGCTGTCAGGTTTTTGTCCCCTGGCCTTGATGCTCACTCCAGTTCCAGTAATTCAAATAGTTTTTTCTATGTAGAGATCAAGTTTCACCTATATATATATCACTTAAGTTAACAAAATTATATGATCCTCTAATCTTTGTCTGCTATTCTGGTCACTTCATAGGTTTTTCTTGTTTTTCAGAGTGCAAGTGTGATTTTCTCCTCATTCTTAAACTGAATGCAGTTACTTTTTCTACCCATTCCACATCTCTTGTGACATTATATAGAGTTTTTTTTAACATCCAACAATTAAATTGTTTCTGAATTGCTAATTAAGTTGCTGCTAGTTACAGCTATAAATGGGAGAAGAGGGTAACTTCAGAGAAGAGTGTGAGTGTTTACAGCAGGCAGTGTTACTTGCTTTTAAGGTTATTGATAATACAGAACCACAGGATCCTGGATCTATTTGGGTCAAGATAATAAGTTACAAAACCTAGGGAAGAGGTTTGTGGTAGAAATCTGATATACACCAGTGGATCACTGTGGAGGATGTGATGACTTACTAATTAAGCACATATTTGTAATGGAATGTAATAAAATTTTGCATTGCCATGGTCACCCCAATTTGGGATGATTACACAATGAGCTAAAATAATTCGTTTCCAAAAATATTGAAAGGCATGCTTGTAAACAAAGGTTGCTGCGTCCAATATGTTTCAAGGGACTATTGGATTTATTTTTGTTAGAGTGTGGGATAGGAATCAGGTATTTTGTGCAGAATGACTTTCAGAGGGAACCGACAGAGCACCTGAAATAGGTTAATTCAGAGCAGTTCATTTTTCCAAAGCTGTTATGAGGAAGATATACGCTAGTAGGAAATATGAATAGAAATTGTGGACTGTAAGAGTATTTTATTAAGTAACGAAAAACCACTGTTTCATAATTAGATGGTAACTCATTATAAATATCTCTCATTTTGGTAGAAAAGGGAGCAAAATATTTAGAAAGAAAAGGCAGCATAAACAAAGTGGAAAGTGGATTATAGATAATAACCTGAAAATATAAGCTCCAATGGAATATAAAAGATGAATAAGATGCTGAAGAAGTCAAGAGGAAATCTTTGGGTAGCAAGGCCAAGAACTGCAGTAAACAGGCAAGATTTACAAATGTACTACTACTAAGGTAGCTATTATGGGGGAGATGTAATCTATTATTAGCTAAAACAGATTTGTAACTGTGTAAAGACAGAGTGAATAAAAATATAAAATAAATAAAATTAATATGATAAAATAGATGCTTCTGTTTTGTGTCTGGAATGAAGTAGGAATGTGTCCGGAATGAAGATGCTGCAACATCCTTAATCTATTAGTAGCCAAGAGAAGATTTTTAACATTTTCTAGAAAGAAGTAGGATTTTTGGTTTGAGAATTTTTATAGCTTACCACTTTATAGAGCTGGTTAAGAAATATTCCTCTGTTAAGAAATATTCTTACTGATGTTCATTTTGAATAAGTATTCAAAGTTAGTGCATATATATTGCAACACTGCCTAGAGTCTAAAAGAATGATAATATTGAGTCAATATGCTGAAAAGTCAGTATTGTATGATCATTAATCTGACCTCATTTCTGAATAAAAGACTGATAAGAAATTAAAGTATTAAAGCATGGGAGTATAGTTACACTTGTTAGAGTACCTTTATGGAAAGCAACCTGTATTGAGTAAATCTGTTTTTTTTCTGGAAAGTAGTACAAGTCAGTTGATGAAGGTTACTATTTGTTTTAATATAGCTTTTTTTAAGGATGTCTGACCTACTACTTATTTTTTTAATCTGGAGATGTCCAGAATAAAAAAATAGCCTGTGCAGTATCAAAAATATGTTAAATGCAAAAGTATGTTGAATGGATTAGCTCATGCTGTCGATCTGAAAAATAAATCATAAAATGTAAATGCTTTTTAGAGTTCTGTAATGACCAGAACTAAACTTGATTATTAAACATTTTCACAAAATTCATATCATGATAAAATTTGTATGTAGTATATATCAAGACTAAGAATTAATAAAGAAAGTTGGGCTTTAAATATATCAACTAGGCCAAATAAAGCAGTTTTATTACAGAAAAATGCAGACTACCTGGAAGAGGGATCAGGTGGCTCTGATGATACTTCAGGTGCATTTTCTAGAGCTCATGTCTTTATCCCACCCCCTGCTTCCTTCAGCACCACAAATTCTCTTTGAATCATACATTCAATTTTTATGGTATACCATTGCTCAGGATATTCTATAACATGTACTGTCAGATCCTCAGGTGGATCTGCCAGTTATGTGAAGCACAGCAACCAGAGCAAAATGTTCTTTGTTGTGTGTTTGTAGTACTTGTGAGAACTCATGCAGAAAACAGCCATTGGATAAAATTTAAAAATTGCTATTAAACTGCTTGACTGGATTTCTATAGAAAATATAGTAGAACATACTAGTTTATTATGAAACTGTCTGAATTCCTGCATGAATTCTGTTTTCTGGCATGTTCTATTTTTTTATCCTCCTCTAGACTTTGAGTGACCATATGTTTCTCTCAGAGGCTTTTGTAAGCCAAGACTCAGAAGTGATATCTCTCCCATTCAACTTGTCCATCAGCAAAACTCACATTAATCTGTGGTGATGATGCCTGTCTGAGCATGAGAGTATGAGAACTTTTCTGACCTTGAGAAGAATTGTTTTGATAAGGCATCTATATTCAGCTGTGGTGGTAATAAATAGGTGATGGCAGCTGAATGCTTCGAAATCAGTTGAGTGCACTTCGTACTTCCATACTACCTCTGTAATTTGGGACTTGTGTGCCTTCCACTGAGGATACCCTCTGCAGCGCAGAGCACATCTGGTGTGTTCTGGCATTGTTCTTGATCGGTCTCCAGTACAACCATCTGATAAAACTGACTGCCAAAATCAACACCCATGGCAGTTCACTTGGCAAGCTTAATGGATCTAAG